AATCTCCAAACTAACTACCAAATAAATGGTAAAATGATAGTAAATAATAATATTTTGTACCAAAAACATTATGGATTCAAGTCTTTTTACACGTGAAAGTCTGAGCCAAGGTTTATGTCGTTTGCATGTTACATTGTTTGTTTTTAATTTTGCTTAAGCATTTTTATCATGCAGCTAAGAACTTGACATAACATACCATTATTCTTACATTATTTACTATTTGGGCTACCTCTCCTTATATGCAACAGTGTTACAATACTGCTGTTTCTTTTTTAATCAGGATTCTTTGCTCTCCTGTACACTTTCATTTGAACTTTTTATAGTATTGTTGCAGCATATTTTAATTACAAACTCTAACCTTCACTGATGTGTTACTGTAATTCATGTTCCTGTCAATAGCTTCAGTGATGACCTTTCATACTTAATGAAAATTGGCCAAAATACTGAACCATCAAAGAAAGTGGGTTCGGTTCAGATAATAGTCCAAGCCAAAAACTTACATGTGAAAAGATCCGTAATAGAATCTGTTGCTAATGACTCGGTAACTGATGGCACAGGGCATCTTTACTGCAGAAGTCTGACCTCAGCAGGCTGTTTTGGTGCCACTATGGGGATCAGCAGCATATTAGGAAGGCTTGCTAGTGTTTATATCTTACATTTCCTGCGTTTTGTCTCCCATAGTGAAACATCCTGCAAGGGAAGTTGACCCCCGAAAAGAAAAACCAACCCCAACTCCCCTCACTAAGCCTCAACCTGAACCCACTTCCAACATTCGGGAAATCATCAAACAGTTCAACAGCCGACCACAACCAGAACCCGAACCCTTTCAGCCCGTCAGGTCTGAGCACTTCATCCTCTGTGTACACATTTCCATTAAAGTCTGAAATTGAAGTTTCCTTTAATCATCTGGATACTCCTTGAGCCTTCTGTATATCTTACATGTGATGAAAAACTACCAAAGATGAGTCAGTATAAATGTTGGGGGGAAATGGAAAGGCATTTTAGATGGTCAGAGGTTTGAGTATCACTTTAAACATAATTGGAGCTTTCACCAAATGTTGGTGAATGTGTCCACTTTGCAGCCAGTCACATGGCTATCCTGACCAATTCAGTCTGTTGATGTCACCAGCTTTGATGTTGCTCCTCTAACAGACCATAGGAGGTACACTGCACTCTCTAAAACAGACTGAGAGAAAATCCCTAACATGTTGCTGTTCACTTTGAAGCATCTCTGCGTCCTAAGGACATAGAGCCAGTTTATTCCCTTTTTGTGTACAGACTCAGGTTGTAAAAGGGTCACCATCCCAGGTCCTTAGAACTTTGGGGATGATGTCATCGGGGACTGCAGCCTTGCTCTCGTGTAGTTTCTCCTGCTGTCACTTAACCTAGCCAAAAATTACAATAGGGAAGGGGTTCATTATATGGGGAAGTTGAGGAAAAGGGAAAAGCGCTGAAAGTAGTGGAAGTTTATGGAATCCAGGATGTGTGATGGAGGAGGCACCACAACTAACCTAACCCTGTTAAAGATATTATTTAGCTCTTTTGTTCTCTGCAGATTGCCCACTGGTTGTCCGTCTCCCATCTTACACACAGTGGTTTTCTTCTTCCCACTCTATAGCATTGGTGGTGATGTTAGGCCTCCTGCTCTCTTTGTTTGTACGCCAGTATTAATTATGACTCAGATTTAGGCGTCTTTTCCCTGAAATTAAAAAAAAACAACAAAAAACCAATGTTTAAATGGGGTTTTTTTTGTTTCCTTTTATCAGATTTTACATCTTAAGCTAGCTCGTTTTACTGATTCTATCAGTTCATAACAAAACGTGTTGAGAGCGTGCATGTAAATGAAACCTTAATAGAATTGTCTTGTTTTCTACATATCTTTTTTCTCCTCTTTGCAGATATCCTGCAAAATCATTTGTAAAGAAGAGTGACCCCAAAGAGGAAGCTCTGGCTAAGCTTAAAAACAAAGCACCAGTGGCACAACAGAAGGTCAGAATACAAACAAATCTTTTTTGTTTGTTTATGCAATTACACTCTTAATTAGGTAATTCTTTAACAGTTTGACATCCTTCCTGTATGTAGAAACAGTGGGTGCCTCCTCCACCCCCTTCTCCAAAGACCCGTTCACCACAGAAATCTCCACCATCAACAAGGGGTCGCAGAGTCATCTCCAACAGCATGAGACAGAAACAGCGCTCCCTGGAGGACCTGTTCAGCTCCCAGCAGCCCCAGCACCCTCCTCCTTCTCCCCCTGACTCCCCACCACCTTCCCCAGGCTTTCAGGACATCCCTGAGCCACCATCAATGGCTGCTCCATCAATAAGTGGGTGTCCCCTGACTTCATGTTTCCCCATACATCAGCATTATTCTGTGACATATTTGGCTGATAAATAGCATCGGCCGACAACAGTTCTATATGCCCTCATATAGAACTGAGGGCATGTATCTTTGTCAGTAACTTTAGTTTACTGTGTATTAACTATAGATGATGATATGCCAGAGGACGGAGGCATTCAGTCCAAACTCCACCGCTTCTCTGCTGGGGTTTACTTCTCATACTACAACATGCCAGGAAAACTGTTCCTGCGGAAAGAAGTAAGATTTGCATGCACACAAAAACAATTAGGAGGTTCACTTATATGGGTACTGTTTTGGGTCCTTCTTACTATTGTGAAGGACCCATCAAATAGGGATGCAGTGGGTTTTGTGGAAACAAGATTGTTATAAGAGGAGAAACTCCTTTCTTGAAAGACCAAGGTCTTTCATAAAATTCAATTTTGTTTCTGCCAAATCACAAACACCTTCAGGCAACTGCCTGAAGGTGTTTAAGGTAAAACGCAGTAACTAAATTGCCCCCTTTAACCAAACACTTCACGACTGTTTAAAGGAAAAACTTCCTTTAAACAGGAAGAAATCTTCAGCAGAACCGAAATTAAGGTGGGAGTGATGAATGGAAGACAGGACAAAATAATCAATGTGCAAGAGAGTCAGATATTTATAATAACTACTGAAAATATAGAGTGGTGTGTAAGCACAAAAAACACTCCGTGCAGTAGGGCAGCCCCCAGCAGACGAGGCCTATTGCAGTGTAACTATGGGAGGATTTAGGGTCCCCTGATCCAGACCTGCTTTATCAAAAAGGGAAGTTTTAAGCCTAATGTTGAAAGCAGAAGAGTCTGTTTGGCTCCTGAATAGTAGCTGGTTCCACAGAAGATGGGCCTAAAAGCTGAAGGCTCTCCCTCCCATTCTACTTACTTGTTGTTCTTAGGAACCACAAGTAAGCCAGCAGTCTGACAACTGCTGTCATTACCCTCACTGCACAATTCTGGAGCAATTGAACGCATTAGCGGTTTTTAAGAAAGCCAGAAAATAATTGTTATAGCAGTCCAGCCTAAAAGTAAAAAATGTGTTAATATTTAAGCGGACGATGTGTTACGGCCGAGAGGGCCAGGCTGTGGGTGTGGACTCAAATGCAAACACAGAGGGAGGCAAAACGGGCGTGAACACAGTGCTTTATTTACAGTGCCTAGTTAACTTACAAAGCAGGAAACTATGAATGCTATGAACGGAGAACTATGAGGTCAAACTATGAACATGAAACTCAGAGCTATGACTAGGTGCTAGATTTCATGGATGGATCCTGGGAATGGAAAAAGAGGCAGCGGCTTGGATGGAGGTACGCAGTCACTATAATGAGAGGAGACAAGTAGTCAGTGGCAGTCTAGTGAATCACAGCTGAAGGATTAGACTATGGTGGCTTACGTGTTGCAGGTTAAAGTGTCATGCGAGGAGGGGGCGTCCAAGGGGTTCTGGGTGAGGAGTGTCCAGAGAGGGTCCAGAATATACTTGGAGTGAGGGACTTGGCAGGGAGGCAGGCAGGCAGGCAGGTGTAGATGTGAGTAGTTTAGCTTGGGAAGTGCGACTGCCAGGTGGGTCGTGAGTTAGCAGAAGATCTGGTCTGTTGTGAATGCTGGTCTTATATGCTGGTGACTTGATTGGAACCAGGTGTGGAAGCTGATTGGAGTCTCTGCCTGAAGGTGGAGCCCAGCGGACCATGACGCAATGCAATTAAAAACGGCATTTCACTACACTTGGAATTTGAAGTACTGCTGTTATAAGTGCGTTGGCCCTGCGACAGACTGGTGACCTGTCCAGGGTGTACCCCGCCTCTTGCCCTATGGCAGCTGGGATAGGATCCAGCGCCCCCCGCGACCCTGAAAAGGAAAAGCGGAAGCGGATGGATGGATGGATGGATGTTGTTATAAGTCCATGTTAGTAACTGCAAGTTTTATGTGCAGGTTTTTTACCCCAGAGAGATGTTTAACCAGCCCTATATTCTTAATCTGTTGTGTGAACAGGTCTGTATATTTCTTTGGTTCATCCATATATCTGATAGACATGGTCGACACACATAGAGACTCTAATACTCTATTTTTACTTTCTTTTTTTTTAGATAATCAAGGACACTTACTCTGACAGCTGCGAGAAGATCAGCAGAGAGGAGAGAAGGAAGATGAAAGATCTGCTGGGTAAGATTTTGACAGTTTATCAGAAACCTTAATGCTGCTTTTCCAATCATTATCCGCCAGCGGCTTGAAAGAATATGACTCAGTTACACCATTTTTGCCACCCACAATAGCAAATTTCAACGTAGGAACAACTATAAACACCATCCAGGACAACAACATGAAGAAGAGGATTGTCATTGCAGCTCGAGACAACTGGGAAAACTACTTTACTCGTCTGTTCCCTGTGAAGGTGAGCAGACCAAAAAATCAAAGTAAAAAACATCCAGACTGTACTGTCCGTTCTGTGATCAGTCGAGCTCGGCTGCTGCTTCTCTGAGCTTTACTGCTCTTTGTGTGTTTAGCCAGCTGTATTCTACAATATACACTCTTCCACACCTTTATTTAGTATAACTATTCAAAAACAGGTATAGATTCAGGTTATTCTATCTAAGCAACCAATCAAATAGCAGCAACTCAATGCATTCAGGCATGTAGAGGTCCAAGAGGTCCTGCAGATATTTCAACATATATTTATATATGTTTT